TCAGTGTTCCCTTTAAACCTCTTATCTGAGACATTAAAACATGCACTTGCCTTTTAGAAAATGACTGTGAAGAAAAGAGGAATTCACAATCATGTTGTCATGGTTAGGCCAGGATTTGAAGAACATTATGAAGAACCATGCATCATACTAGAGGCTGCATGATGGGGGTACCTTCAGGTAGAAAAATGTTACAGATATTTAAAAAACATTAAGATGCAGATGTGTTGAGACCAGGGCAGGTGGATCTCTGTGGGTTTGAGGCCAGCCTGGTCTATATAGTAAGCTCCAGGACAGCCAAGGCTATGTAGTGTGAAGGGCTCCAGATGTTACCAGATCTCACCTTTCAAAGTCTCTCTCTCACCCCAACCCACCTCACTTTAGACAATTATTATATCACAATGTATGCTTAGTTGGTAAGGGTCCTTGCCATCCAGGCTGAAGACCAGAGTTTGATCTGGGACTCACATGATTTCACTGACTTCTGCAAACAGTTCTCTTGACTTTCAGTCATGACACACAAAATAAACAAATGTAATAAAACAACACAGTGAAAACTCCTTGTCAAAATTTGTAGAACTATGGTTTAGGATGGGTCTTCCAACCCAACTTGCATTTTTGTGTATGGACCTGGTTCCAGGAGAAGGTAATGCTAAGGTAAGAAGGTAACTAAGGCCTGTGTGCTCACAGTGAGAAAGAGAAACTGCGCTTCTCCCCACCCCCTTTACTCTGTTGTGTATAGTGGATAAAGGACAAATTCTCATTTACAAAATCTTGTCTCTCTAGATTCCAAAGAGCTTGTCAGCATATTAAAAAAAATAGTTTAGTAAACTAACACATTTTCTGTATTCTGTGTTGATAGCTACTTCTGAGTATCATAGTCCACTGGCTGGTAGAGAATTGAAGGATTCTGGAACAGAATGCAGTAGTCTGTACTTTGTACCCCGGACAAAAGTCATGTGCTAGCTGCCCTTTGTTTTGCCGTGTATGTACTGAATCATTATGGGAAGACATGTCTAAATTTTTCAACACCTAGACTGTGGATGTTAAGGAGATCTCCAGTTTTGACAAATAAATAAAATTAGCTCACTTTTGTACATTTTATGTTGAAATCCACAGGAAAGAATCTTCTCTATGAAAGACATAAGAATTGAGTTAGCCGTTTCTAAGCTTTATGTGCACCTATATTTATTTGCCTGGTGTTTCAAAGAGAGAGGATGTGAGGAGGGAAATTTTCAAGGAACAGTCATATTTAGAACCTACTTCAGATTATAATCATCACTACACCAACAATCTTTCTTTACTAGTGTTGTGGGCATAGCCAGTAAGTTCTTACAGAAAATATTTACTTTTTCTAGACATTTAAAGGTACTTGCTACATTTGAAAGCTAAAGTTGTAGAATAATATTAAGGGTAAATAGTTTTTGTTTTGTTTTTTTTTTTAAACTGGGGAAATACGGTGTGTACTTGTTCAGTAGATGCAGGGAGTTGAGAAAAGAAAAACTGATAGTCTGCACTATAAACTTTTGGCTCCTCTCTACCCTATATGGGTACTTTACCTAATTTTGCTATGCTACTTATATTGTATCTAGTGGATAAAATGAGTGCCAATTTGATGGCACATGGTTTCTAAGTATTAAAGAGGTTGGTCACGTACTAAGAGTTATATTAGAGTTAGTAAACTAACACATTCAGGATTCTTTAGAAGGAACTTCTAGAATGAATCTCTATATATAGAAAGAGGACTTATTAGAATGGCTGTGGTGCAGCTAGTACAACAATGGTTGGCTATGAATGGAAAGTCTAAGAATCCAGTAGTTGTTCAGCCACAAGGCTGGATGTCTCAGCTGGTCTTCCCTATATGCTGCAATCCTGAAGAAGTAGGTTCTAATGCCAGGGAGGGAATGGGCTTGCCAGAGAGAACAAGAAGGCAAAAAGAGAGTAGCTTCCTTCATGTCCTTTATATAGGTGTGGCACAGTTTAAAGGTGGCTCTTCCCTGGATTAAAGTTGTATCTTCCAATCTTAAAGATCAGAATTAGAACTGAGTCTTCTGTACTGGCTAGTTTTCTATCAACTTGATACAAGATAGAGTCATCAGAGAGAAGAGTGTCTCCATAGACAAAATGCCCAGGATGGACTGGGGCCACCCCTGGGTTGGTAGTTCTAGGGTTTATAAGAAAGCAGGCTGATAAGACAGGAAGCCTCTGGAGAGAATGCTTAAAAACTGTGACAGGATGTTGGAATGTTGCCCTCCACAGTAGATGACTTTCAGTAGGGATGTGGGAGGGGAAGGATTCAGCTGCATTTAAGGGGCAGGCCACTGAGAGTTTTGACTACACCCCAGTGAGTATATAAATAATACTAGTTGGACTATCCACACCTCTGGCAGGGGCTGGAGAGGAGGGAGTAACAAAGGAGGCAGGGAAGGTCTGGGAAGCAAATATGACAGCGGTATATGATGTGAAATCCCCAAAGATTCAATAAAAATATTATGTTAAAAAAAAGAAAACAGAAAAAATGAGAGCAAGAAACTTCATGATTTATCTGAAGCCAAAACAGGAGTCAGAACTCATAGCTTTATGTTCTGGCTGGAACCAAATCTTATCTAGACATGTCTCACTCAAGTTTTATCTTGACCCAGTTCTTTTGGACATTCTACTCCTTAGGCTTCCAGAATCTTGCAGAAAAGGCTTACTATGTCTGTCATATGACACATACTCTCTCAATGGACAGAGAAGTTGGGAATGTTGACTTAATAACTATAGGCTTTTCAGACGTTTCAGGGCGTCTTAGCCACTGTTCTATGGCTGTGAAGAGACACCATGACCAATGCAACTCTTAAGCATGGGCATTGAAACCTCAAAGCCTACAACTTCCAGTGGCCAGTTCCAACAAGAGCACACCTCTTAATCCTTTTCATACCACTTCACTTCTTGATCAGTAAACATTCAAATATATGACATTCTTAATCAAACTACCTAGACTTGCACAGGCACCTGAAGGTAACAGGAAAACACGTTCTAAGGCTACTACTATGTATGATATAGTTCTTGACATTTCTTATAAACGGAGAGATGACTTAGTGGTGAGCATTTACTGATTTGAGGACCTGGATTGGCTCCTAGGACCCATGCCTAGTCAGTGGCTGTAACTCCAGCTCTAGGGAATCAGGTGCCCTCTTCTGGCCTCAATAGGCAACAGCTAACCCATACATAACTAAAACTCCTTATTTTAAGAAAGAATAGCTATTGCTGCCACTAGATAGCTATAGTGTTCATGAAGTTCAGGTACTGATTTCCAGACACTCAGTAGAGTTGATACAGGAAATAGACTAATTTTTCTCCAAATTAAATTTTTAGCCTACAATAATTGCTAGAAGATTGAGAACATATTAATATTTAAAATCAAGTAATACAGGAACTGGAAAGATGGCTCAGTGGTTAAGAACACTAACCACTCTTCTAGAGGACTGAACTCAATTCCCAGCAACCTCATGTTGGCTCACAACTGTCTGTAATGGGGTCCGATACCTTCTTCTGGTGTGTCTGAATATAGCTTAGCATGTTCATATGTATAAAGTAATAATGTATATCCACATTAACTAAATAGGCTCTATGAACACAATAAATGTTGAACCTTATATACTAGCAATATGTTTCTAAGTCTTGTAATTGAATGTAAAGAAATATATAGCTAGATATATAAATAGTCTTAGGTGCTGGAATTACAGATATTCAGCACACCTGACAATGCATTTCTTGAACAGTTCACAACTTGTGTCATAAGATTTACTAAATTCCTAAGTTTCTTTTCTCTGTTGACTCCTGGGTGAAGTTGAAAACTTTTATCTGTAAGTTTTCTGCATTGAGAATTATCTGTCTCCAACTGGGCAATGTCAATAAGCTAACTAGCATTGTCATTTTCAAACCTTCCCATGGATGCCTACTTGAAATAAAATAGAAACTGGTTATAATTAAAATAATACAGGTAGACCTTTGACTGCCTCTGGAATCCCATGACTAATGCATGACATTATAAGTTGAGGTAAGTTAGAAAGGAAAGACACCCCTTAGCCAAGATCTTGTTCATATTTCTAACTAGCTGAAAGTTTTAGCACAGCTGACAACTTTGGAGACATCACAAAGCTTATTGAAACAGCTTAATTTTAAAACTTTGCTTAATGTGTGAAACCAGTTGGGAATTACCCCCGTTAAACATTGCAATTTGAGGACTAAGAAAAATTGCTCTGCTCTTGCAAACACCTTGATTCACAAATACTTGTAATTCAAGCTCTACGCAATTTGACTCCTGACCCCTGCGGGCATCTGTACATACATACACACAAATGGAGAGTAAACAGATAAGTAAATTTAAAAAAAAATTAACAGCAAAGTTGAATAAACCACACATGTGGGTCAAGATAAAACTTGAGTGAGACATGTCTAGACAGATTTGGTTCCAGCCAGAACATAAAGCTATGAGTTCTGACTCCTGTTTTGGGACTTCAGATAAATTATGAGGTTTCATCTGTTAAAGATCTACATCCACAGGATGTCTGTAAGGATGACACATGAAGTCATCTTCTATACAGGAACTCATACCAATTCACATGAGTGAAGCAACTAAATTAGGTAAAGGACCATGGCCTTTGGTGATGTCCCAACTCAACCACTCCTTCCTTTGAAATACATCATTTTCACACCAACATCTGAATGCTAAGTAAAGATTCATTTTTAGATCTATAAACACAACCTGTAAGAATTCCAAGTTACATTAAAATCTACTTCATGTAATTGAAATGGCTTAGAGATTTATTGTAGTAATATTTACTTAAAAGATTTACTGCTGACAATGGCTTTTGAAACTAATGATCTAAGGATCTAAAACAATCAATGAAACTCATACCTTGATTTTCTATAACCTATAAAGCACTATTATGACTTCAAGGATATAATATTTAGCAAAGTTCTATTCCTAATGAGAAATAATGTTAAACCAAATATTACTTTTCTATCATTTATTTAGGAAAATGTTTTACATATTAGGAAAAAACAGAAGGCAACTTGATCTAATAATTTTTCAAGCATATTTCTGTTCTAACAATAGTCATGGGGAAAAAGTCTCTGTAAAGAAAGACAGGTCCAGGTGTTATAAAAATCCTTAGCCCATCACATCACCATTTGTTACCTCCAAGCACATAATTCTCCACACACTAAGGACATGGCTTATACATACAGCATGCATGCTACTCTTCGCTTCACCTCCAGCACTGCAACACAACAAAGTCAAAGCCCCCACATTAAAGAAAAAATCCTCCAAAACTGGGCTTAGGCTATGTACAAACAGGTGAGAAGCAAGGTGCTTAAAAAATATGGCATATCGAGAACATAATCTCTACTGTATATGTTAATTTAAAATGTTAACAAAAAAAGGTGAAAACATACATTTACTAACAAAATACATCCCAAGATAGAAGAAAATGTTTGTATAGTGGAATACTGCCTTTCAGACTCCATTTGCATGAATAACATAGTGACTGACTCTAGTCCGAGGGACGGGCAGCTCAGAGCAGGCGGACAGTCTTCCCAGTCACTGTTAGGAAATCATCATCAGCCAAGGCACGCAGGGCCTCTTCAAACATATCCTTGGTAATTGCCTAGGAAATAAAAATGTCACAGATTGAGTCCTTACTGTTAGACATACATACTTTAATGTTAAACTACTGCTTAGAGTCTTTGTCTATTTGGGGCTGTAGACAATTCATTTTGCTTAATTCCATCTTATATATATCTTATTTATTTTGTGTGCCTGTGGGCTGGTGTATAAGTGCAAGTCAAAGGACAGCTTCCAAATTCAGTTGTCTCCTGCCACCACACAGGTCCCAGGCTTAGTGGTAGGCATCTTATTAACCCTGCTAGAAAGCATGTCTTATTCTGTAAATCAGGATGGCAAACTGGCAAATGTTTCTTTAAAGACTAGGTGTCTGTTGTCCTTTCTAAGCTCTCTGCCTTCACCATGCCAATGCAGTCAAGGATAAGTAAAAAAGTGTTATAAATATAAAATAAGCAGGCCTTGACTTTGACCAACATTTTTTTTTAAACTAACAATTCATCTTTAATTGCAAAAAGTCATGAAAATATTTCATCCCTAAAACAAATCTAAACTAAAAACAGGTGTACTAGCATTTTAATTATGTATTTCTTGATGATGTGTTTATGGAAGAGGCAATCTTATTTATGTTTATTACTTACACACACACACACACACACATACATATAATACATATATGAACACTTACTGTGTCAGATTGTCCCCGAATATCCTCAAACAGCTGTTGATACTTTAAGGCTGGTGTTTTACCCTTAGATAAAATAAGTTTTCTCAATGCTTCAGCTAATTCTTCTTTCCGTTTACGAGAAGTGGCACTCATTCCTATTTCAAAAAGAAATCAATGGAAATGTTTCTACCACGAATAAGTGAAATGTTAGATTCCTATAAATATTACTTCAGTAATATTGCCAAGAAAGGTAGAACAGCCAAATGCCAGAACATATTCAAGAGCATGAGGTTTTTATTTTAATGATTTTATCTTTCATTAGCTACTTGCCACTGAAAGCCATATAAGCTGTTAGAAAGTATAATCATACTTATTAGGAGATCAAATTCTTTGAGTTAGGGCCTTACTAGGCTACCTTAGCTTGCCTAGAATTTCTGGGCCCAAATGACCTTCTTGCCTCAGCTTTCTGCATAACTGGGACAAATGTGCTTGCCTGCTTCTCGGTTGAACTGAATTTTAATAGATATAAAACACCCTAGGAGACAGAATCTCTTTTTATTTTAAGTTTTTGGTTCAAAGCAAGTAACAAACCTGTAGTAAGAATAGATATATCCACAATGCCAGTACGGGGGTCAGTTGCAGACTGCTTCAGAGCCTCCCGGTGAAGGCGTTTTGCCTCTTCCACATCGATTGCTTCAACTTTGTTTGAAAATCTTACTTTAGCATGGGCTTCTGCTAAGCGAATTAATGACTCTAGCTGTCGAGGGTAAGCAGAAACCATCCCCCGGCTACTCCCGATCTTCCTCATGTTTACATAAGCCTATTGAAGGTAGGAAAAAAACCAAGTGAAACCACTGGCAACAAGAACCTTAAGCTTCAAGGATGATATCGAACAGTAAGGGTTCTGTTAAGTAACCAAAAGCCTGTCTGCCTGCAGTGGAGGGTTATTGTATGTAATTACAAATTGGATCTAGGCTGTGGACTTGGAACTCATCCACATAGAAACAGAGGACTGTTACATGGTGATATGAAATGTTTGACAGAAAGACTTCTTGCAGACATCTTGTGAATATAGATAGGTATCATAAGGCTGGCAATGTAACTCAGAAGAATGTATGCCTGGCCCCCATAAGTATAATCCGCAGCACCACACACACACACAAGACAGACACAGACTCACACAAAAACATACCCCCACCAAACACAAACAAAGGTAACAGTGGCATAAGAAAGGAATCAGAAGGCCTGTAGGAAAAGGCCTGGCAAATGACAGCTGAAAGATCCATTTTGCAAGGTATGTAAGGTAACTGGATAATGTTTTAAAGAGAATTAAATCAGTTTACAAGAAGTTTCATTTATTTTATGATATGAATGAAAAATCACTACTATCTGCAACCTTCACCTAGCCTTTCGTAACCTAGCTAGGATATAAACCCATCAAAGGGAATGCCATAACATAATAATCTAGCCAAACAAGCCCTAGACCATTCCTGTCCAGCTTATAATATGTGGGAATCTAAATATCACCCATCTGAATGTTGAGGTTTGGTCTTTTGCTATGTATTGCAATGTTAAGTGTCAGCCCCCAAGACCTGGTTGCCCTAGAGAGAGCCAGCAGGACAGCATCTGCACTTAGACCCAAGTGACTCAAGTTATTTCTGACTGGTGAATAAAGATGTCAACAGCCAATGGCTTCTGAGAACCACAAAGGGGAGAGGAAGGTGAAGAGACTTCTGAAGAAGCTGCCATGGGTTAGGTAAGTCATGAAATAATGGCCATGTGGGTTGGCTAATTGGAGTTAAGAGCAGCCCAGAAGAAATATGGCAAATTATATGGTGGGATTATTGGCTGGGAAATAGAAATAATAGCATTGAGGGTAGGTATCTATCTAACCAGCTCTTGTGCTGTTCAAGGCTTCTTGTAAATATAAAAGTTGTGTGTCTATTATCCAGGAACTAAATGATCAAAGGCAGGGCAGAAATCCCAGATTGGGATTAAAAATTTCTACAACTTCTTACTTGTTAAAAACAAGCAAAGTTAAGTTAAGAGAAACTGATAACTCATCCAGAGTTACAAAGTTATGTTTCGTAAGCCTGGTTACCTCAATGAGAGCCTGGCTGGCCTCTTCACTCAGCCGGGGCATGATGGTACTATGTGCATATGCAATGTAGTCTTTCAGCACTGCCATGTCTAGAAACTCCTCCTCCACTTGCTCCTCACTTTGGTAGTACAATGAAACCAGGTGATGAGCTAAACGTCGGTCATATGCCTCATCCTGAGGGTCTAGCATGAGGAAAATGAGATCAAATCTGACAAGACAAGAGAAAAATACTGTCTTCCTTGTTTAGACACCAATATACCTACATATAGGACTTAAAAGGTATTAAAGCCATTCATCAACTGTACTGTACATATACCCACAGAAAGCTGCCACATCTCCAGTTGACCAACCCTTAGTCTTGCCTAGGTAACAGCGAAGTAAAAAAGTTAAAACTCTCCTCTGAGAAATATTACTGTAATCCAGGACCAATTGGACATTGTATTTGGATAAAAACCTTTCAACTGTTTTGAGGACATAAGGAGGGTACTTCAGTGATAAGAGCACTTGCCTAACACACGTGAGGCCTTTCATTAAATCTCTAGCACAAGAAAGAAAGCAAATTTAGTCAAATAACTAAGACAGGTAAATCTTGCCAAGAGGCCTAACCAATCAAATCTCAGTGTTTAATGTTAATGAAGAGACTGTTAGCAGCTGTCAATTCTACAAATAAGCAATCAGAAGCATTTATCATACAGAAATGTTTTAGTACCTCGACAACAATGTGTGTGGTAGCTGGATATTTTCAATAGTTGTTTTTTTAGGATTCCACTGAGACTCAATAGGATTTGCTGCTGCCAGGACGGAGGTGCGCGCATTGAGCTGACAGATGATCCCAGCCTATCAGAAGAAGCAGTGCAGTCAGAAGTATTTTCCTGACTACCATAAGGAGGAAAACCATCTTCATCTGACGTCTGACTGACCCTCACTTACTCTGCTGGTTCTGTTTTCCAAGAGTCTCACTGACTTTACTGCATAAACCCTGTACTCAGATTCATGTCTAGGACTGAGCTTAGACATATTCATTCTGTAGCCACATTTTTAATTTAAATTACATTTTATGTACTGGGTATTTTTGCCTGAATGCATGTTTGTGCATTACATGTGTGCTTGGTCATCTTGGGAGTTCAGAGAATACTGGATCCTTTGGAACTGCAGTTACAGAAGACAGATGGTTGAGAGCCACATGTGGGTGCTAGGAATCAAATCCAGGTTTTCTGGCCAAGGAGCTACTGCTCTCAACCACTGAGCCATCCCTCCAGTCAGTTTTCAAATTAGAAAGGAAACTGGTAGTAACTTTAATAAAACCTCAAGTTTGTAAGTACTCCATATTAGTGAGTAAAAGCAATTAATGTAAAAAGTTTCGAAATTGAACTTTAAGTGCAAACTGCTGTGAGCCTGCAGTCACAGTGGACACCAGCACTCACCTTAGCAATGGACAGAGTCTGCTGTTCCATGACCTCATGCAGCACCGACCTTGTGCTTTCATTCATTTTGTCAAACTCATCGATGCAACATATGCCATTGTCACTCAGGACAAGGGCACCTGTCTGGAGGACGAGCTGCCTGGTGTCAGGGTCCTTCATCACATAAGCTGTGAGGCCAACTGCACTGGAGCCTTTTCCAGATGTGTACTGGCCTCTGGGAACCAGGTTGTATACATACTGTAGCAGCTGGGACTTGCTGGTGCCAGGGTCACCACACAGAAGGACGTTGATCTCAGCACGGAACTTACCCCTTCCAGTGTGACTGAAATCTTTCCTTGTTCCACCAAAGAGCTGAAGTAGAATTCCCTAAAAAAAAAACAAATAAATACATCTAAACATTCATTTGTTGTACAGTATATGCTTAGCTTATATTTTAGAGGTACTTTTCTATTTTATAAGTTCAAAGTATTACCAAAATCATCTAAGAGTGCTCAGGCCATTCTAAGTATTCCTAACCAATATAAACCTAAGCAGACATCATCCTAAAACTTGACCAGCATGAACCCCTGTTTGGACCCCATGTAACCTCCTAGGTTTAGGAATGTGCACAGCAGAGATGGATCTATAAACGACAAAAAGGTAACACTTAAAACATGACTATGCACAGCACAGATAAGTCTCTATACAACAAAACAGTAAGACTCAACTATCAACCAAGGCAGAAGTCAGTGCCTTGCTATGTTACAGAGCAAACAGTTCCTACCTCTGGAAGATAGTACAGAGGCATATGGATCTTTAGTTACTTTATTCTAAATAACTGTGAGTCTCACCACCAAGCTGAAAACTCCATTGTTACCTTTTTTATATCTTCATGTTCATAAATGCTGGGAGCCAAGGCTGAAGCAAGCCGCTCATAAATATCTGGCTTCCTGGAAAGTTCCTTAAGCAAGTTCACACGTTTCTCTGAAAAAAGTTTCTGTTCTGCTTCTTCATCTAGGCCATGCAGACGTTTTGCATCCGTTTTCCGATAATGAATGACATCAATGTGGGTTTTATAGACAGACTTCACATTGCTCACTCTTGGATTAACTCGAATAGGTACTGCTCGATATATGCCTAAGAACATGTATGAGACACAACTTTAACTTTCTACTTCTCTGTAAACTCAGCAAAGGCAATGTGCAGTACTTGGGGGCTCTGTCTCACTTGAGTGTCCACTACCTCTTAGTCTACCAGGCTAAGGCCTCCAAGAAAGTCAAGACACAGAGGAAACAGCCAAGGGGGGAAGAAACATAGGTTTTAAAACACAGATCCAAAATCGTACTTGTAACCACCTGTGTTGTATGAACTTAGGGAACTATCTGCATAACTCTTTAGTACACAATTGTAGGTGCAAAATGAAAAACAAAAAGGCTGTGTCATGACAGTATTTAATGTCATTTCCTTAAGCTAAAAGCAAAAAGAATTTACTTAGTAATTGGCTGAACAAAATGCTAAAGCCCATACCAAAAACTTGAAATTGAAAATCCTAAAATCCCTAAATCTTTTAAAAATAATTTCATGAATAGCAAGACAGCCTACTGACTTAAAGGTGAAGAGAAAAAAAAAATGACAATTTAGGGCTAATACTAGGAAAAAGATATTTTCTGCTATCCTCTCATGAACCTAATTGAGGGCTGGAGATATAGTTCACTCAGAACATTTGCTTAGTATGTACAGAGCCTTGGGCTTGACCCCTAGGAGTGACTGCATGCCACCATCACCCCAAAGAAGGTAAACAATACTTTAACCACTCTATAAATGAATATCATCGCTAAGAAGGAAGGTTTTGTTAAACTGGTGTATCTGATGCTCTTGTTCTTTGGGTTTCAAACTAGCCTTGACCTTCACAATAACTTCATTTCCTGTTGAAAAAGAAAAAAAGAAAAAGAGAAAAGAAAAAAAAAAAAGGGCTGGAGAGATAGCTCAGTGGTTAAGAGCACTGTCTGCTCTTCTAAAGGTCCTGAATTCAATTCCAAGCAACCACATGGTGGCTCACGACCATCTTCAATGTAATCGGATGCCCTCTTCTGGTGTGTCTGAAGATAACTATAGTGTACTCATACACATAAAATAAATAAATAAATCTAAAAAAAAAATAAAAGCTTTAATTCAGTTATTAATGTGTAAGATGCCTGTGTGTGTGCACTCATGTGCCCGGGTGTGGTGTGCAGAGGTTAGTGGACAGCTTTTGGGAACTGGTTCTCTCTTTCTATCTTGTAGGACTTAGAGAAGGAACTCAGGACATCAGAACTGCATGGCAAGTACCCTTGATGTACCCAAGTACCACTGAAGCATTTTACTAGGCTCTCTACTTTTTGAGGACTAAGCCTGATCTTCTCATCCATTTATTTATTTATTTATTTATTTATTTATTTATTTATTTATTTATT